CCTCAAGACTGCTCCTCAGGAGGTTCCTGCCAAGTTCATCGCCGCTGTGCGATCTGCCCCGACTGGACACCGGCAGTTAAATTTCGATTTAAAGCTTTCGTGACTGCAGGGATTCATCTTCTTGGTTCTTTCGGTAAAGTCACGTAGAAGGGAAGTAATAAAATAATAAAAATAAAACATAATAAAATAATTCTCACGACGTTTCGGCCACAACGCAAGCAGCCGTCCTCTTCTCGACAGACCTGTTCTTGCCTCCGAAACGTCGTGATTTTATTGTTTTATTTTTGTTAATTTTAATTTCATTTTTTACCTACGTGACTTTACCGAAAGAACCAAGACTATGAATCCTTGCAGTCACGAAAGCTTCAAATCTAGAACCATCGTTTGTTGTGGCCGGTTGAACGCTTCCAAAGAGAAGCTACGTGGCAGTTCAGCGAGCCGTTACCGGGTGAATACAGAAATTGTTTATCGTTTAAACTCTAAAAGAGTTCATCGTGTAACTTCGTTTTGCGCGGAGGGAGGGCGGAGAGAGAGCGTCTCAGTTGGTCAAGTCCTGCGAGTCAAGACTCGTGATGTCACCCGGATCGACTTCTCCCAGCGACGAGAGGAGAGTGGAATAGGCTTGCCTGTGAAGACACGCACGCACGAACACACACACACACACGTCATTATATATGTGTGTGTGTGAGTGTGTGTGTGCGTGACGGAGACGACGTCACGGCGTTTGTACCAGGCTGGGTACACTCTGAGGCCGACACATCGAGTGTAGGATGCAGCTCCGCCAGCAGGGAGGTCACTGGACAGACCCAGTGTGGCGAGTTGACCGACCGAGATGGCCGAGATGACGTGAACGGACACACAAGACAAAGATCTCCCAGGTAGCCTTCGACGGGCTGTTGGGGCAACTGCAGGTAGGTGCCTGGGGTGCGTTTTCGTCTCCCCAATGGTGATGTTTACACACACCGCGCCGGGCATTCTTTGAAGGCTGAGTCGACCTAGCGGTGGCCCGGGACCAGTTCAAATATTCGCCAGTTGTTGACTGTGAGCTGGAATCAAACTCGGGTCGCCAGGCTCTGAGTGACGTGCCGCTAACCACGAAAACACCCATTCATCAATTCATTCGTACACCCACTCGCTCAGATTCCAAAGAACACAGGATGAGATGTTACTATCCTTTGTGCAAGCACTTCCAAGAGTTCATGAACAGTGAGCCTGGTGAAATTTGGGGAGCGCATCGTCAGTAGTGACCCTTTGGTTCCTAGGGTGTTTCGGCCTTTCATACTATACACCCTCCCCAAAGGTGGCCAGCGACAGGGTGATCAATCCTACGCTTGCGTCCCATTCCCAATTAGTCATAGGAGTTGCCTTGTTGTTGGTAGCCAACAACAAGGCAACACTCACTCACCTAGCAACTCACTAAGGATTTACCCATGTACTCACCTACTCTCCCCCCACAGACCCATCCACTCAGCTATCCACTCACTCATGAACCTATACACTCACTCACAGACTTATCCACTAACTCACGGACCCATCCACTCACTCACCTAGCAACTCACTAAGGAGTTACCCATGTACTCACCTACTCTCCCCCACAGACCCATCCACTCACTCATGAACCTATACACTCACTCACAGACTCATCCACTAACTCACGGACCCATCCACTCATGAACCTATCCACTCACTCAGATACCCATCAACTCACTCACAAAGTCATCCAGTAACTCACCTACCAACTCACTAAGGAGTTACCCATGCACTCACCTACTCTCCCCCACAGACCCAACCACTCACCCATCCACTCACTCATGAACCTATACACTCACTCACAGACTCGTCCACTAACTCACGTACCCATCCACTCACTCACCTAGCAACTCACTAAGGAGTTACCCACTCGCCTACTCTCCCCCACAGACCCATTCACTCAGCTATCCACTCATGAACCTAAACACTCACTCACAGACTCATCCACTAACTCACGGACCCATCCACTCACTCACCTAGCAACTCACTCACGAGTACCCATGTACTCACCTACTCTCCCCCACAGACCCATCCACTCACCTATCCACTCACTCATTAACCTAAACACTCACTCACAGACTCATCCACTAGCCCACGGACCCATCCACTCACTCATGAAGCTATACACTCACTCACAAAGTCATCCAGTAACTCACCTACCAACTCACTCATGAGTACCCACTCACCTACTCTCCCCCACAGACCCATTCACTCAGCTATCCACTCACTCATGAACCTATCCACTCACTCAGATACCCATCAACTCACTCATAAAGTCATCCAGTAACTCACCTACCAACTCACTCATGAGTACCCACTCACCTACTCTCCCCCACAGACCCATCCACTCACCTATTCACTCACTCATGAACCTATCCACTCACTCAGATACCCATCAACTCACTCACAAAGTCATCCAGTAACTCACCTACCAACTCACTCATGAGTACCCACTAACCTACTCTCCCCCACAGACCCATCCACTCACCTATTCACTCACTCATGAACCTATCCACTCACTCAGATACACATCAACTCACTCATAAAGTCATCCAGTAACTCACCTACCAACTCACTCATGAGTACCCACTAACCTACTCTCCCCCACAGACCCATCCACTCACCTATCCACTCACTCATGAACCTAAACACTCGCTCACAGACTCGTCCACTAACTCACGGACCCATCCATTCACTGATGAACCTATCCACTCACTCAGATACCCATCAACTCACTCACAGAGTCATCCAGTAACTCACCTACCAACTCACTCATGAGTAACCACTCACCTACTCTCCCCCACAGACCCATCCACTCACCTATTCACTCACTCATGAACCTATCCACTCACTCAGATACCCATCAACTCACTCACAGAGTCATCCAGTAACTCACCTACCAACTCACTCATGAGTACCCACTAACCTACTCTCCCCCACAGACCCATCCACTCACCTATTCACTCACTCATGAACCTATCCACTCACTCAGATACACATCAACTCACTCATAAAGTCATCCAGTAACTCACCTACCAACTCACTCATGAGTACCCACTAACCTACTCTCCCCCACAGACCCATCCACTCACCTATCCACTCACTCATTAACCTAAACACTCGCTCACAGACTCGTCCACTAACTCACGGACCCATCCATTCACTGATGAACCTATCCACTCACTCAGATACCCATCAACTCACTCACAGAGTCATCCAGTAACTCACCTTCCAACTCACTCATGAGTACCCACTAACCTACTCTCCCCCACAGACCCATCCACTCACCCATCCACTCACTCAGACACCCACCCACCCACTCACAGGCGCACTCACCCACTCAGTCACTCGCCCACCCACCGACGCACCCACAATCACCCACAGACAACACCCGGGACACTGGACTGATACAAGCGCGATAAGAGCAGACAGGGGGGCATTACCTGCTGCAACGTGACACCAACATTAACCAATTTCTCAAATGACCCGTCTCCCACCGCCTCTCTCTTTCCCTCTCTCTCTGAGAGAGAGAAAGACCCACAATGAGGTGGAGGAGGAGGCTCATGTCTTGAGGCTCTTGTAAAACCACTGCACTCATCCCTTCCCGAGTGCCCTGCTCACTATCACTCCCCATTGAGCGTCTTGACGGGAGGGATCACTCTCTCGCTCGCCGGCAGAGAGCCACGGACACAGACATCGATTCTTAAACACTCGGGGGGGGGGGGGGGGGGTGGCGTGGAGTGGGGGGGGGGGAACAAAAAAAACTGGCAGCAAACAAAAAAAGGGACCCCCCCCCCCCACACACAGGATCCGATGTCGGGTGTCCAGGCGAGGGAGAATTGAAAAAAAATTAGAAAGTTTAAAAAATACGGACGGGCGGGCGGGCTTGTCCGTGAGCGTGGGTGGGTGGGTGGGTACGGCACACGAGGGGGTGGGGGGGGGGGGGTAGCACCACGCCCGGCCGCCTTTGTCTCCCCAGTGCCGATGTTTACACACCGCACCGGGTACTCATTTAAGGCCGAGTCGACCTAGGGGAGAACCGGTTTCAGGTAATCGTCACTGGTGTTGGCCGTGAGCGGGAATCGAACTCGGGTGGCCAAGTTCGTAGCGCAGCGCGCTAGCCACGACACTACCGCTCCCCACCCACCCACACAAAGATAAAGACAAAGATCCCCGTATAGCCTTCACAGACTGTAGGGGCAAGTGCTGTTAGCGAGCACCTATGAAGGCCGGCACGGCACACGAGGGGGTGGGTGGCCAACACCACGCCGGGCCGCCTTTGTCTCCCCAGTGGCAATGTTTACACATCGCACCAAGTACTCATTTGAGGCTGAGTCGACCTAGGGGAGGCCCAGGACCGGTTTCAGGTAATCGTCACGGTGTTGGCCGTGAGTGGGAATCGAACTCGGGTGGCCAGGTTCGTAGCTTAGCGTGCTAACCGCTGCACTACCGCTCCCCACCCACACACATAGTCACGTAACAAATATCCCCGTATAGCCTTTTACAGACTCCATACCGTAAGTAAACTTAATTTGGAGCTTTCGTGACTGCAGGAATTACTCTTTGGTTCTTTCGGTAAAGTGACGTATAAAGAGAAAATAATAAATTAAATACTAGCATACGACGTTTCGATTGCAACACAAGCAATCATCATCAGGTATAAATGAAATAGAAACACAAATCTAGTAGAGTTAGAAATGTAATGTAATATACAACAGAGAGTCGGATAACATAACAGTCAACACCCTACCTGGTTGATTACGTTCTTCCTGAGAATGCAAAATTTGAGAGAGAGATAAAACACAGAACCAGAGACATATAGACAGACATATAAGCAGACAGATATCACAGAGATACATAGAGAGAGACACGTACATAGGCACACAGAGAAACCACGCCTCTGTGTCGAGGCCTGGTTGATTACGTTACTGTAAGTGTTTTGGGGTAAGTTCTCGTGAATATAAATGTGTCGTTAAGCCCGCCACCACCACCCGACACAGACAATTAGTCAAGGTTGTGTCACGTAAACAGAACGTGGCCAATTCGTTATTCGTAAAGTACACCGGTGTGTTGGGAGAGCAAATCCACAACATTTACAAATCCACAACGTTTTACAGACTGTTGGGGCAAGTGCTGTTAGCGAGTAGCAGCACCTATGAAGGCCAGCACGGCACACGAGGTGGGGGGGTGAGTGGGTGACCAGCGCAACGCCCGGCTGCCTTTGACTTCCCCGTTACTGATGTTCATACACTGCACCAGGTACTATTTTAAGGCTGAGTCGGCATAGGGGAGGCCCAGGACCGGTTCATTTAATCGTCACTGGTGTTAGCCGTGAGCGGAAATCAAATTCGTATGAGTCTGTGTGCACGCCACGCTTAGAGCATGAGCTGACCACTAGGGCTGTACTTACAACATACACACGTGGTTTTGTGTAGATGTATATACAGTCGTATGCAACACACGTATATACATACACACCACTAGTGCTGCTCAAGTAGGGTTTTTGCTGCATAATTGGTGACCACGTGAAAAATCTATTGAGGCCGGCACGGCACACGAAGGGGTGGGTGGCCAGCACCACGCCCGACCTCCTTTGTCTCCCCAGTAGCGATGTTTACACACCGCTCCAGGTACTCGTTTGAGGCCGAGTCGACCTAGGGGAGCCCGAGGAACGGTTTTAGGTAATCGGCCATCGGTGTTGGCCGTGAGCGGGAATCGAACTCTGATCGCCGGGTTCGTAGCGCAGCGTAGCGCTAACCACGACGCCACCGTTCCCACTGGACACACAGACAGACACACACAGCACACAGCACACACCCTAATTGACCCACCGAGCCCCAGATCTCACGTCCCCCCGGACTAAAAGCCACCGTCGCTTGGCTCTATCGCTCGCTCGCATCTCGACAAGCGCTCGCAACGATGGCGACCAAGGCGGTCGTGGCGCGGCGTGAGAGACGCGGACGGACACACGCACAGACGCACGGACGGACAGGTGAGATCGCCCACGCGACCCCCACTGACTCTCCCACCGAGGTCGACGTGTCTACATCGCCGCCCCCCGCCGCACACAATCCGCACGTTGTGTGCGGCAGCGAGACGTGGGAAGACGTGGGGGGGGGGGGGGTCAGGGTTGTGGGGGTGACCGCCGCAGAGAGATAGGAGATCGTCTTGAGAGAAGGATAATGTTCAGCGAGCATCTTTGTGAATCGGCGGTCGTTAAAGAGAGGGGGTCTTGTGTGTATTTGTGTGTGTGTATGTGTGTGTATTTGTGTGTGTGTATGTGTGTGTATGTGTGTGTGTATGTGTGTGTATGTGTGTGTATTTGTGTGTGTGTATGTGTGTGTGTGTATTTGTGTGTGTATGTGTGTGTATGTGTATGTGTGTGTGTATGTGAGTGTGTATGTGTATGTATATGTGTGTGTATGTGTGTATGTGTGTGTGTATGTATGTGTGTGTGTATGTATGTGTGTGTGTATGTGTGTATGTGTGTGTGTATGTATATGTGTGTGTATGTGTGTATGTGTGTGTGTATGTATGTGTGTGCGCGCGTTCGCACGCGCACGTGTGTGTGTGAAGGGAGTGGTAGTGTAGCGGTTAGCGCGCTGCACTACGAACCTGGCGACCCGGGTTCGATTCCCGCTCTCGGCCAACACCAGTGACGATTATCTGAAACCGGTCCTGGGCCTCCCCTAGGTCGACTCAGCCTCAAATGAGTACCTGGTGCGGTGTGTAAACATCGCCGCTAGGGAGACAAAGGCAGCCGGGCGTGGTGTTGGCCACCCACCCCCTCGTGTGCCGTGCCGGCCTTCATAGATGCTCGCTAACAGCACTTGCCCCAACAGTCTGTTCAGGCTACACGGTAGATCTTTGTCTTTGTGTGCGTGCATGAGGGTGTCTGTGTTTGCATGTCTGTTTGTGTTGGCATGTGTGTGTTTGCCTGTATGTTCACGTGTGTTTTGTGTCTATGCATCTGTGTGAGTGTGCGTGTGTGTATGTGTCTTTGTGTACGCGAGTTAGGGTCTGTGTGTGCATGTGTGTGTCTGTGTGTTCGCGTCACTGTGCCGATGCGAAAATTCTGACATGGATGCTGATGCTGCTGATGAAGATGATGCTGCTGATGACGATGATGCTGCTGATGCTGCTGATGACGATGATGCTGCTGATGACGATGATGACGATGATGCTGCTGATGACGATGATGCTGCTGATGACGATGATGCTGCTGATGACGATGATGACGATGATGCTGCTGATGACGATGATGCTGCTGATGACGATGATGCTGCTGCTGATGACGATGATGACGCTGCTGATGACGATGATGCTGCTGATGACGATGATGATGCTGCTGATGACGATGATGCTGCTGATGACGATGATGCTGCTGATGACGATGATGACGATGATGCCTGCTGATGACGATGATGCTGCTGATGACGATGATGACGATGATGACGATGATGCTGCTGATGACGATGATGCTGCTGATGACGATGATGCTGCTAATGACGATGATGACGATGATGCTGCTGATGACGATGATGCTGCTGATGACGATGATGCTGCTGATGACGATGATGCTGCTGATGACGATGATGCTGCTAATGACGATGATGACGATGATGCTGCTGATGACGATGATGCTGCTGATGACGATGATGACGATGATGCTGCTGATGACGATGATGCTGCTAATGACGATGATGACGATGATGCTGCTGATGACGATGATGCTGCTGATGACGATGATGACGATGATGCTGCTAATGACGATGATGCTGCTGATGCTGCTGATGACGATGATGCTGCTAATGACGATGATGACGATGATGATGCTGCTGATGACGATGATGCTGCTGATGACGATGATGCTGCTGATGATGCTGCTGATGACGATGATGCTGCTGATGACGATGATGCTGCTGATGACGATGATGCTGCTGATGACGATGATGCTGCTGGTGCAGATTACCCCTAAGACTAATCCTCCTGACGTTGATGCTGCTGCTTGACATTTCTACTCTATCTTCTTGGTTCTTTCGGTAAAGTCACGTAGAAGGGAAATAATAAAAGAATAAAAATAAAACATTATAAAATACTTTACCGAAAGAACCAAGAAGATGAATCCCTGAAGTCACGAAAGCTTTAAATCGAAATATTACTACTCTACTGATGCTACTGCTGATGATGATGCCTGACACTCCTCTACTTTTTTTTCGATTTAAAGCTTTCGTGACTGCAGGGATTCATCTTCTTGGTTCTTTCGGTAAAGTCACGTAGAAGGGAAGTAATAAAATAATGATAAAAAAATAATAATAATTCTCACGACGTTTCGGCCACAACGCAAGCAGCCGTCCTCAGGTGAAGACCAGGTCTGTCGCTCCAAGCTTGGTGTTGTTTCATTCAGACGCTGTCTCCCCGACAGACCTGGTCTTCACCTGAGGACGGCTGCTTGCGTTGTGGCCGAAACATCGCGAGAATGATTTTATTATGTTTAATTTTTATTATTTTATTACTTCCCTTCTACGCGACTTTACCGAAAGAACCAAGAAGATGACTCCTCTACTTATGACGATGACTCCGCTCAACAGCACAATTACAATAACGACGACGATGATGACGATGACGACGACGTATAGACAAACGCTTCGCCTCACCTGACCGACAGCTCGCGACCCAGTCCCGACTTGCGTTCGCTCTCCCTCAGGATCTCCGCCACCGTGGGCAAGGCCTCCTTCAGAAGGGCAGGGCTCAGGGCATGCAGGGCACCGAGAGCGGCCACGGGCTGCAGAGACATGCCCTCCCTCAGAAACTCGCTGTGGGCACACGGACAAAAGGGGCACACGGGATACGGGAGGAAAACAACATTTCAGGACGTACATCAAAGCCGTTACCATTCCGGATGATGTACACGTACATCACCAGTTTTATAGACTCACACAGAGACCCATAGACTCACACAGAGACCCATAGACTCACGCAGAGACCCATAGACTCACACAGAGACTCATAGACTCGCACAGAGACCCATAGACTCACACAGAGACCCATAGACTCACGCAGAGACCCATATACTCACGCAGAAACCCATAGACTCACACAGAGACGCATAGACTCACACAGAGACCCATAGACTCACGCAGAGACCCATAGACTCACGCAGAGACCCATAGACTCACGCAGAGACCCATAGACTCACACAGATACCCACAGACTCACACAGATACCTTACGGACTCACACAGAGACCCATAGATCTGCCCTGGCAGTCTCCCTCAATCTGCTCTGAAGATGTCATCCGAACAGCTGTTCCTCCTACAGACACCATCTCGCGAAGTGAATTGAGTTCCTGGAACTTCTTTCGCGCCGTACGTAGCCAACCGCGCTAATTGGAAGACCTTGGGGAGGGGCGCAGGACCACCGCTTCAGATTACACTGGTCAACACACTTTTTCTGGCATGAGGTATTCCAACGATTTTAAGGTAATTTTGGGGTGCTGATTCCAAATCTGGCATCAGTTTCTGTCTATCACATCAGGTTTTCGAGATATCAAATATTGCATTTTCAATAAAAACTGCAGAAGAAAAATATTCAATAAATGTGGATATCTACATAAAATGATATTATAAACGCACTATCCTAAAAGTACAGCACCATATTTTAACACTAAAGCAGTCACTGACTCGCAAACAACTTGCAATCATAAGTGACGGAGTTAATTTCGGGTAAAATCAATTAAAATGGGGTATGCCGATAGCATAAAAATGAGATGTGATAGAGCAAATCTGAGATCAGATTTGGAATCGGCACCCTAAAATTAGTCTAGAACAGCTGCAAAAGTCCAGGCCAGCAAAACATGTTTTTTTTGTTGTACGCCTTCTGGTGTCATCTGGTCCAACACCAATGGAGACTAGGCTCTAAGAAAAGCTGTCTCGGGTGTGGACCAATCAACTTCAAGGGTAGTGCATATCATTATCATTATCAGAGTTGTTTCTTTTTGTTTGCATTTTGACTACTTGTGTTGTGGTTATTGCAAACATGATGCCTTGTATAAAGGTGTCACTTTTGTACCAGTTTAAAGGGTAAAAACCTACTATGTTTTTGTTGTTGTTGATCAGTGTTATAATTATCGTCACAGGCGTCGGTGGGCCAAAACCCGGGGAATCGAACTCGGCTCGCCTGGTTTGTAGCGCAGCGCGCGAACCGATGCGTCGGTGAAACTTGTACATGAAGGGGTTACACTTTGACGAGTTGAATTAACACGGAGTGTGTAAACACATTCGATTGGCCATGATCTGTGGATGATTTGGGTTCCCACCAGCAGTGATTTAATTGTGTATGCATGGACGTGCACAAGTCGTGTTAATGCACGGATGCATTAGTAACTAATTCTGTCTCGAGTCTCCACACACACACACTCTCTCTCGCTCCCCCCCATATCTCACACACAAAAAACAAACAAAGACAAAGATCCCCGGTATCGCCTTTTAACACTGTTGGGGCAAGTGCTGTTAGCGAGTAGCAGCACCTATGAAGGCCGGCACGGCACACGAGGGGGTGGGTGGCCAGCACCACGCCCGACCTCCTTTGTCTCCCCAGTAGCGATGTTTACACACCGCACCAGGTATTCATTTAAGGCCGAATCGATCTAGGGGAGGCCCAACAGCGGCAGCGCAGTGGTTAGCGCGCGCTGCGCTAAGAACCCAATAACGGTGACGAATACTTGAACCAATCCTGGGCCTCCGCTAGGTCGACTCAGCCTTAAGTGAGTACCTGGGGTGCAGTGCGTAAGCATCGGCACTTGGGAGACAAAGGCGGCCGGGCGTGGTGGTGGTGGTGGACACCCACCCCATCATATGCCACAGTGGTGGCCTTCATAGGTGGTGAAACTCGCCAACAGCACTGGCTGCCAGTGCTGTTAGCGAGGGGTCTCGGTCTCTACACAGTAAAACCTTGGATTGCGAGTAACTCGGTCTGCGAGTGTTTTGCAAGACGAGCAATTTTTTTTCTAATAAATATTAATTTGATAAACGAGCGAGGTCTTGCAACACGAGTAGTACGTGTCTATGCTTTGTCTGCGCCGGTGGCCGATTACCTAAAACCGGTCCTGGGTCTCCCCTAGGTCGACTCAGCCTCAAACGAGTACCTGGCGCGGTGTGTAAACATCGCCACTGGGGGAGACAAAGGCGGCGGGGTGTGGTTTCTCGCCACCCACCCCCTCGTGTGCCGTGCCAGCTTTTATAGGTGCTACTCGCTAACAGCACTTGCCCCAACAGTCTGTTCAGGCTATACGGGGGATCTTTAGTCTTTTTGTTGTACGGATCTCTAAATCTGAGTACGTCTGCGTACACGTGTGGGCATAGCGGAGAAGTACTGTTGGTCCCTCGCGAGATTGAGGGGGTCGTGTACGTGCGTGAGTGCATACACAAACACAGACACGTTTATACGCTGAACTTCTTTCGCATCGCACATAGCCAACCGTGCTAATTGGAGGTGCGCTATGTCTGAGTGTTTATAGGTATTCATACGAGACAAGCCACAACACGTTGAGCTAGCGTTTGTGAGTGCCCAGGTCGCCACTGACAAAGAACTACACAGCTCGATGGGGCCTTTACCTGGTGAAAATAAAACAATTGTTGAGTTTTTAGTTGGCGCTAACCAGAGGTCGCAAACGGGTTTTGATTCCTTACCCGTACCCGTACCCGGCCGCACCAGGGTCGAAAACGGATACTCGTACCCTACCCGATACCCGGCTACCCGTATCCGGCCGGGTATCGGGTAGGGTACGGGTATCGGGTACCCGATTGCGAGCTCTGGGATGAAGCCATGTTGCAGGCGCGGGTGGGTTGATTCTAGGAACTTGAATTGTGAGAAGAGACAAGACGTTGGGAAATGAGTGAAACACGGTTGCTCACCAGTGACTCACGGCCTACCCGTACCCGGCCGCACCAGGGTCGAAAACGGGTACCCGTACCCGGCCGGGTACGGGTAGCCGGGTATCGAGTAGGGTACGGGTATCGGGTACCCGGTTGCGACCTCTGGCGCTAACCATACCACCCCCTCGTGTGCCGTGCCGACCTTCATAGCCGCCGCTTTCGCTGAAAAGAACTTGCCCCAGCTGTCTGTTGAAGGCTATATGGGGGATCTGTCCGTGTACTAGCGTGGGTCTATGCACTAATGGGGAGCCGTAGTGTAGCGGTCAGCGCGCTGCGCTACGAACCCGGCGACCCGGGTTCGATTCCCGCTCACGGCCAAAACCAGCGGCGATGATCTGAACCGGTCCTGGGCCTCCCCTAGGTCGACTCAGCCTCCAACGAGTACTGGGTGCGGTGCGTAAACGTCGCCACTAGGGAGACAAAGGCGGCCGGGCGTGGTGCTGGCCACCCACCCCCTCGTGTGCCACAGTGCCGGCCTTCAGCGGTGCTGCTCGCTAACAGCACTTGCCCCAGCAGTCTGTTCAGGCTACACGGGGGGTCTTTGTCTACGAGTGTGTACGAGTGTGAGCGTAGCAGGGTTAGAGTGTTGGCCCCCGCGGGGGAGAGAGGGGGGGCTGGGGGCGAGAGGGGGGGGCTGGGGGCGGGGGAGAGGCGAGGGGGGGGGGCTGTGTGCGGCCCACAGAACACGTCTTCCGTCATCACCGCACATCCGCTCCCCCCCCCCCACCGAGCACCCTCGGACAAAGCCCGTCGACATCGGGACGTCACATCGACAACTCCCGTACATTGATAAGTACACGCCGATACGTTGCACGTACACAGAGATATTTACACGAGTATATACACACACACACAGAGCGCAAGGCATGTCGACACAGCAGAGGTCGCAAACGGGTTTTGATTCCTTACCCGTACCCGTACCCGGCCGCACCAGGGTGGCAAACGGGTACCTGTACCTGGCCAGATACGGGTAGCCGGGTATCGGGTAGGGTACGGGTATCGGGTACCCGGTTGCGACCTCTGCTACACAGGGACACACAGACAACTCTCGTACGTATAAACGTACACGCAGATACAACAACCACCATTCGCCACTCAGTGGCGGTGACGTCACCACACGACGCCTGTGCCAGGCCATGTGCACGTTGAGGCCACGTGAAGTGTCGAACGCCCGCTGGCAGGAGGTCACGGGGCAGACCCAGGTGGTGCCACGGGTCGACTGAGATGACTGACATGACTGGCTGATGCACCAGATACATTGCATGTACACACAGACATATTCACACAAGTATATATACACACACAAAGCACCCTCGCACATATACGTACAGATGTCCGCAGGCAAGTAAATACATTGCATGTACAGATAGAGATATTAATGTAAGTATATATATACAAAAGACAAAGATCCCCCGTATGGCCTTAACAGGCTGTTGGGGCAAGTGCTGTTGGCGGGCACCTATGAAGGCTGGAACGGCACACGAGGGGGTGGGTGGCCAGCACCACGCCCGACCGCCTTTGTCTCCCCAGTGGCTATGTTCACTACGCACCGCACCAGGTACTCATTTGAGGCCGAGTCTACCAAATTTGACGTATTCCAAAGCGGTTGTATACCGAGGTACAACTGTACAACGATCTACAACTCGCCCAACCGGCGATGGATATCCATTGTAATTTATATGCATTCATTAATACCCCCTCTCCCCTTCGCACAAGAAGGGCTCACAAGTGACGTCATCACGTCTACCCCTCTATCTAAGGAACGAAACGGGAGGATGTTTTCACAAATCTGGCTGTCCGCCTGAGGAAGCTAGCTGCAATTAGTGGCGAAACGTCGTACTGGGATTGTAAATGTTGTGGCTTGGCTCTCCGACACACAAC